GATGGGGGGCAGCGCGTAGCAGGGCGTGAGGTGAGGTGAGGGGCACGGCGACGGGGCGGAGGGTAAAGAGGGCCCGATGATTCCTGGGGTAGTGCTTCCAAGGTGGGAGGGGGGGGGCGGCTCCTGATGCAAACCGCCAGCAGGAGGTTGCGCAACCCAACCAGGCGCGGTTCCCGAAGGACAAATGAGGCTGCCGCAAGATAGGCCGATCACGGGCCTTGGCGTCTTGTTCCCCCTCCCCTCCAGCAAGGGCGTCACCCTGCGCCCCACCTGCACGCTGAGGGCGAGGGTGTCGAGCTGCGTGAGCCCCGCGATGGCCCGCAGCTGGGCGTGGCCCACGGCAGGCTTGAAGGGCGGCAGCATCTGCGTGGATGAGAAAAGGGTTGGTCAAGGCGTGGGGCAAGGCACGCTATCATCTTGCCAAGTGGGTGTGTGTGGCAGGAGCACAGCGCACGCCACGCAATCAGTACGCACTGCCATCCACCAGAAATGCCTTTTAATCAGGGACGGCAGAAGGCAACAGAAAGAAACACAGGCGTGGGGGACCCACCAGGGCTCGCAGCGCCGGCAGCGCCGCCAGTGCCGCCCACTGCCCCTGGTCCCCCTCGTCCGGGAAGGTGTCCAGCCACAGAGTGGTCACGCGCGCCAGCACCGCGGGCGGCAGGCGGCGCGCCAGCGCGGGGAGGTGGCTGAAGCGCATGCGGCCGCGGTGGGGTGGCAGCTCCTGGGTGGAGGTGCAATGGAAGCAGCGCGGGACCGCATCCAGCTCCACTGACAAGGACTGCCAGGAGGGAGGGAGAGTGCAAGGAGCGGGGGAGTAAAAGGACTATGCGGGGAGTGCACTGGAGGAAAAAACACAGGCCTGTTCTTTTTAGGGGAGGCAGGCGCAGAAAACAGTCTTCAGGGTAATCGTTTTCACACACAACCTGGCAAGTGCAGAGCACAATCACATGGAAGCGTTCCCTACATCAACCACACCCGGTACTGCCGCCGCCCACCCCCCACCCCGCCAAAAAGCGCACCTTGGCTCTGCTGGCCTCCACCAGCGCCGCCAGCACCTCTGGCGCCGCCTCCAGGTCCTCCTCGCTGTCTACGGCCACGTAGGCATACTCCAGGAAGGGGAAAGCACCACCCACCACGCTTGCAGGGGGAGAGCAGCCCCCACTGTTGCTGAGCGCAGCGGCGGCGGTGGAACCTCCTGCGGCGTCACCTGCTTCGGCGCCGCTGGCGGGCGGCGCCGTTAGGCTGCCGCTGGCGCGCTGCCATCGCGCGCGGCGTGGGTTGCCTCCTGGCAGGGCGCGGCGCGTCGTGAGCCCGCCGCCCCGGCCGCCGCCGCCCTCAGCAGGGCGGCCGCCGTCAGCTGCGCCAGGGGTCCCGGGGGAGGCCGGGCCGCGCGGCCCGTGCTGGCTGCTGCGGCCCTGCCGGCGGCGCTGCTGCGACGGCACCACCACCGCGTAGTTGACCTGGCAGGCACACGCAATGGGGTGAGCGCTTGAACAGGTGATGGCTGGAACCAGCCAGCTGGTCAAATATGGTTATATGTATGCCTGTGCTGAAGCATGCAGCAAGCCTCGCCACCTTGAGGGCTTGACAAATAAGGCGCCAGCTGGCGCGCTGCAGGCGCAAGCGCAGGCGCAGGCGCAGGCGCAGGCGCAGGCGCAGGCGCAGCGGCCGCGCCCCTTGCTGCCCTGCGCACCAGCACTCCCAGCTCGCGCCGCCAGTGGGAGCACACCGCCCGCATCTCAAGCAGGTCCTCGCAGGTCAGGTGGTCGGCCACCTGGGAATGACGACGGGGCCACACGCGCAGGTGAATCATGCGCAGGATTTCATGCGATACGGGGCGTGGCACCTGGCCAGCTCCGGGCACGGGCCAACGTATGCAGCATCGCAGCTCCATGCGCAGCTTGCAAAGCAACAGCCGGCCCAGACAGACGAGAGTATACATGCGCAATGCATCTGCTTGGACTCCCCGGCAGCTGGCAAGTGCGAGGAACTCACGTGCTCCCACACAGCGGCAGGAAGCACCCAATCGACAGAGCGCATCGGCACCAGCACCGCCGCATCCCAAGGTTCGTTGCCGCAGGCCTCGGCGGTAGCGCCCATGCAAGATTCCTTCGCTCTATGGCCATCCTCAAGCAAGCAATCCATCGTACGAAGTCAAGCTTGATCCCTGTAGACCCCCTTAGATCAAGTCTGTGTATAAACGGGAGGTGTACTCGATAACGTTGCTATAGTCATTTGTGTACGGTAGGCTCCGGATGCGCGAGCGCCGATGCTAGAGCACAGGGTGTCGAGACAATGGACTCTGATAAAACTGCGTGCAGAGCGCGCGGTATGAAAGCCCGGCGTTGTGTGCTATGAGAAAAAGATTGCAAGTGTACGTGAATGGTTGACATCCAGCTGCACCACATGCACCGCGCGTGTGCTGCAATGCAGCACGTGACACCGTCAGGCCTTTCGTTGCTCAATCCTTCACCGCTAATTGGATTGGTTCATGACAGCCGTACATCGCTACTGCTGACCTGGTGCTGACACCAAATAATAGTGCCTTCCAAGTGGGTTGGATTCGACTGCACTCCGAGGCAAGGTGCGGACCATTCTCGCCACAAACACTGCTGCATTTGTAATCATCAGATGCGCTCAGTGCTGCCCCACTCCCGGCCCCCTCATAAACGGTGTTGTGGTGCTATCATACTACCGATGCTGCACAGACAGGGCCATGCAACACCGCCACTGCTGGCAACTGGGATGTGTGTCTCTTCCCCTCGCTGCCGCCGACATGAGGTGGCGCTCAAGGCCATCGCCGCCGCCGCCGCCGCTGCCGCTGCTGCTGCTGCTGCTGGCGCCTGCCACATCTGACACGAGGCGCCAGCAAATCATTTAATAAGGGCAACATGCATGGCGCTCGCCATGTGTGCTAGGCGACAGTATCCTTCCAAGCCCCAATCAATCAATAATCAGGAGGCTGTGCATGCATGCTTTGAACTTGACTGCTGCGGGGCTTGTATATCTAATCGATTTACTTGGAGATAGCCAGCAATCAGGGCGTGAGAAGTTTGGCAGCAGCGGCAGCAGGAGCAACAGCATCCCGGCATTGGCAGCGGGGACACACTCGTAATCCGAGAGCTCTTGGGCTGCTCTTTGAAGCAAGCGACAACGGAGTGTCACAGTCCCACGTGACCGTGAGCAGGCCTGCTCAAGCTCAAGTAAAGAAAGCTATGTGCAGCTCTTGGTTTCGGCAAGGAAGGGGCTGCAGGCCCCGGGGCCAACAATCCTTCCCGCCTACTCACAGGGCGCGCCACGGGGAGGCGGCTGCACAGTGCGCCCCGCACTCACCTCGCGGCGCCAGACTTACTGAGGTGCAGTGTTGTCAGTGTAGTGGGTGGTAGGGTGGAGAACGCTGGCCTGGCCGCGGCCTCTATGTGAAGCCTCACGGGGTTGGGCCACAAAGTCGGGCGGAACAGCCTTGCGGCAATCCACGCGCCCCCCGCTCGGCTCCAGAGGCACTAAGCAGTATCGCTGCCCCAGCAGGGGTGCGCACTGCTGCGGACGCCCGTCCACCCCCTGCCCCAGGCGGGCGCGGGGCTGCCTTTGAAGGCAGGGGCTGGGTTCCGAGCGCACCCGGGGTCCCGCAGCCCGTGTTGTGGGCGATTTGCTAGGCTGGACGAACAACTTGTGGATGCCGTGTCAAAAACCGATTGCTCGAACGAAGGGGATAGAGCGCATATGGTTATACTCAACATAGTACTGTATGTAGGGACGTTGGAATTATCTATGTGCAGACCATTTGGATTGGCATTTGCTCTAATAGTGTACTAGTGCTGCACTCCTATGTCCGCCACTTCGCCTGCCGAAAGTTTTTCAAAAATTCGTGGTATGAATGTGTTTATTTGACTATCATACTCGATCTTCATACGCATAGGCAAGCTCATGACGTCTGATGCCCGTGCCTCCTTACGAGCTTGAATAACAGCACAATCTGACGGTGAGGAACCGGGGTATGATGTTGTGAGGCATTAAATGAAGATAATGTCAGGCAGAGACTGCTCGGCGACAGCCAACGGGTGGGGGTCAAACGCAGCACAGACTGGCGCGTTGCTGCACCACGTCTTCAGTATTCCATTTGCATAACTGGACCCACTGAGAGCAAGCGCATCGATAAACTAATCAATGACATGATGCAGCAGGTTTTTGTCGACTCGCAGCACCGCAACGCCCTCCCCCCCATTCACCGCTGTCTAGCGGCCACCTCCTTACCTTGCACTCTCTCGCTCACCTGTCGGCGCCCATGTACCCAGGGAGGTGCGATGAGCGCCCGCAACGCAGCCTGCAGGTGCGTGATGAGCGAATGATGGTTGGGCGGGGCTGCCAGTACTTGTGACTGTACTACCGTAACCGTGGCACCAGCAGCCAGAACTCACAATTGGTTTGTGATCATAGTTGGCACAAAGGGCTCTCCAAACTCTCAATTATCCAATCATCCTGCTAATGCCCACACCTCTGCCTTGCAACACCCCCGCTCAACTTCCAGGCACTCTTTGCTGCGCCGAGCTGACACCGCGGTCGATGAAGCCCCAGCCCTCACCCCAGCCCCGGGTGAGCCACCAGCCACCATCCACGACAGCGCCCCGGCCAGCGACCCCAGGCAGCCTCAACCTTTGGCGGCGGTGAACACTTTGGAGGGGCTCGACGCCAAAATCGATGGCGGGGGCGGCGGGCAGCAGGGGGGCACGCTGGGTGACGTTCCTCCACCAGCAGACGGCGCCTGGCCACACCTCGACGCCGCACGCGACGAGCTGCCGCCCACACCTGGGTGGGACATTGACGAGGTCGGCGGTGACGGCCAAGCCGAGGCCGGCCACCTGCCCCGCACGCCCGGCCACATGCCCAGCAGCTTGAGCGCCGACGGCGGGAGCGAGCACTTGCTCGACCCCGACAACGCGCTGCCATGCACGCCCGGCGGCTCCAACGCCAGCGAACTGTTCGACGACCTTTGGCCAGCCGACCTGGCCCCGCTCGACGACAACCCAGCCGCACGGCGTCTTGCAGATCTCGTACTCGGCAACCTCAAACCGCTAGTGGCGGGGCAGGACGCCGCCGCCGGCGACGGCGACGGCGCTGCGAGGGTGCGGCTGGTGCGGAGCCTGGGCTTGCACCCCAGGATGTCCAGCCCCGAGCCCGCGCCGGCCACCAGCAGCGGCGCTCGCCCCGAGCACACGTCGCCGTCCTGCGTGCAGGGGGTGCGCCTCGACCTGACCGCTCTAGGGCTGCGCCAACTGCCCGGGCTGGCTGATGCCAGCCAGCTGATGCGCCTGGAGCTGCCAACTCGCGGCGAACAGCTTGGCTGGTTCGATTACCTGAGCAGGCCCGGCAGCGCAGCGGCCTGCGGCCTTGGGCAGCTCGGGCCCGGCGCGGCGCTCCTGGCCCCGCTCATGCGCGGCCGCGGTGGGGACGAGCGAGGCGTGTTTTGCCGCAGGCCTGGGGCCGGGCACGAGAATGTGTCAGAGGTGGCCGCCACGGTTTTCGCGCCTAGCATGGCCCAACCCACCATGGCGCTGCGCACAGTAGAGACAGAGGCGCAAGCCCTGGAACTGCTGGCGCTGCCGCCGCCCACAAAGCGCGTGACGGTATCGTCGCTCGCGCCCGGGGGCAGGGCGCCTGGGGCGGACATCGAGTCTGGGCCCGACGGTGACTTTCAGGCGGTGGTGCTGGCCGCGGGGTCCCTGGTGCCATCCGCAGATGACGAGGAGGGCAAAGCGCGGCGGCGGAAGCGGCGACGCTGGCAGCAGCAGCATGTGCCAGCCGCGCAGGAGGACGCGACGCGCCGCGCGGTGCTGCTGCAGCTCGCATTCCTTTCTATGCACTGCCTTGTGGCCATGGCGGCATTCTGCTGGGAGCCGTCCACGCGCAATCTCGAGCAGCCGTTGGTGGCGGAGGCGGCGGTGCGCGAGCCCGAGCCCGAGCCAGAGTGGCTGGCCTCCGCGTGGGTCCTGGCGCTCGGGGGCGGCGCTGTCAGGGTGCCCATGCCCGCGGCAGTGGGGCAGGCCCTCCTTGAGCTGATCGACCGCAACAGCTCCGCCAACACGGATCTGAGGGCCGCCCTGGCGTCGGCCTCGTCGCGCAGCCGCGAGGGGCAGCAGGGCTGAGGGGCTGGTTGCGGCGTTCATCGCAGCCGTGCCTGCAGGCACACACTTTGTTCTGCGCGCCCCCTGCAAACCCTGCATCGGTCTGTGGTGATGCACCTCATGTGCGACAGCCCTGACCTGCCACCTGTTCGATGTAAGTGCTCCATTCGTTGTCATCTGTTCCCTCCTAGCAGCAGTATGTGTGTCTGATACCCTGCCTGCCGCTTGTGCTTGTTTGCCGACCGGCAGGGAAGGAGTTGAGCCAAGGTCATGCACCGCCACATGGGCGCAAGTATGAGCAGTAGTGGGGTCCACGGGGCGGCCGCAGCCAGGCTGCAGCGAGTGCGTGCCCAATCGGCACGGACAGAGCCCTGCCTCGGTCCGCAGGTGTCCAGGCCGGTGACGCCTGATGGACAACGTTTGTCACCAGAGTTTGCAAAGGGGTCGAGTGGTGCACATCTGCATAGGGAAGCATTGCTCAGCAGCCTGAGCGCCAAGCAGGCCATCAATTGACAACAGACCCTGTGTTTTCACAAATTGGGGACACTGAGTGCAGCTCTGCATCTAGAGCTGCCGTGGATGCGCCCACATTGCGCTGTCGCGCCTTGCTCATGTCAACCCTGGAAACCTCCTGCCTTGCAGGGGCCTCAATATGCAGCACATGCGTGCTACCAACATGATTGTGTTGCTCACTAATTACCAGAACGTGTTTCGCATCTTCAAGGACAAGCGGTGGCAATTGTGCAAGCGAGCGATTGAGACGCCGTCGACCGCACCAACACACAGCAGCGCGCTGCCGGAGCTGCCCGACTGCCGCCTGGCGATGAGGCCCGGCGGGCCAGAGAGGCGCCCAGGCCTCGCTGCATGCCCAACACTCATGCGGCCGCCGCCAGGGCCAATCTCCAATGGGGCGCGTCCCCTCGACGTGCCGACACCACAGCTCAGGTGCGGGCGCTGAGAACATGCGGGAATAGCGGTGCACACCCTGACAGGTGCGCCCGCAAACATAATGCGCAAAAATGAAACACGGGACCGTGGTGCAAACAAGGCGCAGCGCAACGCAAGCGCCGCCTGGCATCATGCAGGCCAAGCGGGCCTGCGTCGCGACCTTGCTACGCGGGGTCTGCTTAGCGGTGCGCTCGCTGTGGCCTGTCTTTAAGTGATGACGGTGGGCTTGTCGCGGCCGGTGAACTCCTGCAGCTTTGACAGGTCCAGGGCCACCTGGATGATGTCCTTCAGGGCCACCTGGGGAGGGGGGGTGCGGGAGGGGGGCGCCAGTGGGGGTTGAGACGCGAGGAGCTGGATATCAACGGGTCAGCGCGTAGTACTAGCACGGCACAGGACGCGCGGCAGCACAAGCTGGGCGCGGGCTCTAGAGAGAGTGTGATGCCACTGCACAACGCCGCAAGCAGTGAGAATGCGGGCACATGTGGGATCAGCAGCTGCGATGTTGCCGTGCACGACAGGGCTTGCTGCGAGGAGCGACGCGCACAGGGTGGACCACCAAGACCATGCCCAGGCCGCCTGTGGCTGTGGACTGGCGTGCGGCGATAACGCTGCACCCCTTGGACCCTCCATTGAGATCAGGTCACGAGCCTCTGAGCCCCCCCACCTGTGCGTCCTCCAGCAGCCGCGACTTGTCGTCGGTGTACTGCTCGATGTACAGCCGGATGGTGGCGCCGCTGCTGCCCGTGCCGCTGAGCCGGAAGATGATGCGGCTGCCGTCGTCAAAGATGAACCGCAGGCCCTGGCCCTTGGCCACGGAGCCGTCGATGGGGTCGGTGTACGCGAAGTCGTCCGCCTGCGCGCGGGTGGGGGGAGACAGGGGTGGGGCGGGGAAGGAGTGCAGTTGGTCAGAGCAGGGTCAAAGAGGTGCGAGGGGCTGCGGGGTGCCTTGTTTCTCAACCGTTTGCTGCCAGGCACGGGGGGGAATCGGCAGGCGGGGTATGACGCTGCATGCGGGGGCCCCTATGGTGGGCAGGCGAGCTGAAACGCAGGCAGCAATCCTCTCCATCCCCCGCCAGTCCCTTGCTTGCTGTGACGCACGCCGGCGGTGGCTGGAGCTGCACAC